CCCTCCCCTTTCCTCCACAAAGTCATTAAGGCTCTTGGAAACTCCTGCAACAGCCAGAACGGAGGTGTCCTTTCAGTGAGGTGCCCACCCAGAGGTGTCTCACGTACTTCTGCCTGCAGCATTCCCATCCCATCCTGTCCCTGTTGCTAAGGTGCTCAGCAATGCCTGCTGCTGACACGAGACCCTGGATACTGCCTATCACATTTCCCGTGAGCAGCAGAGAGCAATGAAAACAGAGATCAGAGAGCCGAGGAGAGGAGCTCAGCCTGCTAATTACAGTGGGAAAGCAACATTCAGCACCTGCTGCTGGCAGTTCAGTGCTTCTGCCAGGGGCTGTGCAGCAAAACAGGTTTGGTCGGTGGTGAGACAGGGCAGCTAAACAGGATCCAGTAGGGCCAGGAGTGGAGGGGGAAAGTTGGTGTTACAAGGAAGGAATAAGACAAACTGGTGGGTTTAGGGGTTGCACTCGTGATCCTGCTGGTCCAGAACTGCCCCCTCCAGATGGATTGGGTCTGTAGAGAGGTGAATTGTCTTGATCATCACCCTTCTGCCGTGTCTGTGCTCATCTCTGTGCAAATCACAATGTTTTCTTCCTCCTGCCGCCCTGCCAGGGTGATTTGTGTCAGCAGGGTCTCTGGCCAAGGTGATTGCAGCAGCCTATTTTTGGGACTGCCCTTGAGAGTTGCAAGCCAGGAAGGTGGAGCCCAGCTGTTCCCGGTGTCCGTGCCCTGGGGAGGCACTAACACCTGCAGTCCGTGCTGGCTGCTCTCCAGTGCCACGCTAATTGCTCCAGGGTCGTTAAATAATACAGCGACGCTGAAGGGGCTGCCTGCTGGCTCTCCCAGTCCCCGGGAGGGGCCAGAAGGCTCAGCTGGGGGCTACTTCAGGCTGCAGAAGATGGGAACACCTCTGTTCAGGCCCTGGGGTTTTGGCTCCAAAGGTGCTTTCGGACTCTACTTGGTTGCTGGATGCCCACTGACTCCCTGGGATGTTTAATTTGGTTCTGGAGATCAGCAAGAGGCTTGTAGATCCTCATTGTTTTGAGGCCATTTTAGGTACAGAGAAGGATTTAAGGGACAGGTCTGCACCCAAATGTATGTACATCCTGTACTGACCATGGAGATTTATTTATCTCACCTTATAACTCCAAGTATCATCCCCAGGTGCTGTCCACCCCCAAAACTGCCACAGTTCACCTGAACATGGCAGGGATCCATCTGAAAAGCTTGTTCCTGGTCCTCCCTTGATTGTCCTTGCCCAGCTGTGGAGGAGGCAGGCTCACCTACCTGGAAGTGTCCAAGGCCAGGTTGGATGGGGCTTGGAGCAACCTGGGACAGTGAAAGGTGTCCCTGCCCATGACAGGGGGTTGGAGGGAGATGGTCTCCAAGATCCCTTCCAACCCAAACTGTTCTATGATCTGTTGACTTGCAACACCACAAAATGAAGGCAGAGACCTGGCTGGAAGCATGTTGAACAACACACAGCTTTGCCTTCCAGACCTGCCCATTCTAAGAACCCAATCAGTCCTTCCTGGTGTGGGTGTCACTGCAGGACCCAGGCTGACAGTTCCACATGGGCTTCCACTTCTTTCTGTGTGCTGTTGCACCTCAGGGGCTGAAATTTGCCCTGCCTGAGAACGGTGGTACTGCCAGCCCAAAGACCCATCCTGCCCAGGCCATGTGTCCAACAGCAGTTGGAGGGGAAGGATATCCCCTATACATCCCTCCCTATGACATAAGAAGAAGACAAACACACAGCACTTCCCACAGCACTTTCCCAGCCCCTCTCTGGTCTTCCTGAGCCAGAAGCCATCTGCAGAGTACATGCTTTTCCATGGATTTCTCTTCCATGATCTTGCATTGACACTAATGCTTTGATGCCCTTTATTAAGGAGTTCCACAGCACCACAGCACGTTCCCTGAAAAATTACTTCCATCCATCTGCTTCAGCTCACTGACTTTGCCTCGTGCCCCTGCTTCTCAACTGGGAGTGAGAATGAGCCATCCCTGTTCACATTCCCTGTGCTGCTCATCTTTTCCTGGATCTCTCAGCCACCCTGCAGGTATCTCTTCCTGCTCTGCCTGAGAGGTAGCTGCAGTTCAGTGGCGTGGGTAAGAAATGCTGTGGCCTGCAGAGTCGCCTGAGTAAAGCTGTAGTCTTGTGATACCCTCCAAATATTGCTGGATTTATCTTTCCAGCACACCTGCCAAGCTAAGAAATCCTGTTACCCCTATTCCAGTGAGGCACAGCACCGCCAGGTATCAAGCACTCCCCTGATGCAAAACAAGGAGCTGGAAACCAGGTGCTGAGCCTACATGTCCTTGTTCCCACCTGAGAGCTGCTCTGCTAAGCAAAACAGCTAAACCAAGCTTAACTAAGCACCTGGCTTAACTCAGTACCCAACCAGCTGACCAAAAACTTGTCATTACGTTGACCAACCCACCAATGCTGCACTTTGAGCATCTCCTGAGGTTGTCATCCAGCTCAAATGCCGGCAAAAAGCTGGAGAGAGAGAGACACCGCATTTCCCAGACAAAGGGAAGGAGGGGAGGGAGCAGCTGAGCCAGTGGAACTGTTTGTGCAGCCATAATCACACCGTAAAGCACAGCAACAGCACCTGGAAAACAGCCCTTGTGTAGCCTGGCAAAGAGGCCCCGGTGACCAGAACAGCTCAGCGTGGAGCTGCCTTTTTGGGGGGACTCACTGCCCTGCCTGGCAGGTGTTCACACATGGGCTGCCCACAGGGGCAGTGCTTTGATCCTTTTTGGGCATGGAAGAATTGCTAACCCCAGGTTTTGACGTCTGTTTACATTCATTATTTTTTTTTTTTTTTAAAAGAGGAAGGCCAGTGTTTTTGGGCAGTTTGAAAAGGCCCCACCCAACGGAAATGGAAGGGAGCAGAGGATGGGGAAGGTCAGGAGGGAAGGTGTCCCAGCTCTGCCTGCAGCATCTGGCACTCCCTGCTCCATGACTGTGATGTGTGTGCCCTCCAGCTGTGCCCTGTGTGCCCTCCAGCTGTGCCACCTCCCTCTACCCATGTTTCCCTTGCTAGGATACCTCCTGCTGACCCCTCTGTGGGGCCAGAAGCACCATCACTGTTGGGGTACAGCAAAGACACTCAGGGCTCAGCTCTGGGACACCAGCAGGGAGCAGGAATCCAAGGACAGGAATGGGAGAGTGTGGGGCCAGACCCTATAACCCACCTGAGCCAGGCCATGCACCTCCACACTGTGTGTGGCCCAGGTGGGCACTGGGGCACACAGAGATGCTCAGATCTGTCACCAGGACAGAACTTGCCATCCCTGGCATTCAGAGATGCTCAAGTGCCATTCTGGGAGGCACAAGCAGGGACTGGGAGGAGCCCGTGAACTGAATCAAGTGGGAGAAACAAGCCAGGCTGTGCCTTTCTCTCAGCCCTGTCCCCCCCACATGCTGCAAATGAGAGCTGCAAAGACCTCTGTTCTCTGTGCTGGCCTCTCCCCCTGCTCCCACTCTCAGCAGCTCAGCCCTGCATCCAGGTTTACATATAAATAAAGAGCGAGTGTGAAATCCACCCTGGGGTCTCTCCTGACTCCCACTTGGCTCCCTAATTGGAAAGTCTGCCAGCAGGAGATACTGCAATGAGCTAAGGCAGAAACAAACTCCCTTTATCCCAGGCAGAGATGACGACTGGGGTTGGGTCCCCAGCCCAAACCACACCAGCTGGGAAGGACACAGAGCAGGTTTGCACATGTTCTCGTTCTCCATCAGGCTCTGGGGGCTTCACTGCCCTGCTGTGGCCAGGGAAAAGGGACAGGGATGTACCAGAGAGCATCCTGCAGCAGCTCATCCTGCTGGGAAAGGGCTGGACTAGCACTTTGCAATCCCTGACCACTCGATGCCAATAGGGAGGGACATTAGGACAGGGGTGTGATCTCTGTGCAGCGCTGGGGAGGTGTGTTGTTCAAACACCTGCATCTTCAAAGACACCCGATTCTGAGGTTCCCCCACCTTCCCAGTGCTCAGGAGAGGGGTTTTCCCAGTGCACACACAGCTCCCACCAAAACGCTGCTGACCTGACCTGCAGGAACACCCCCTCCTTTTGGTAATTCAGCCTAAAGGAATCAGGAGTCAGACTCTTCACCTCCTTTCTGGAGGGGGAAACTGATCCTCACACCTTGTGGCCTCTCTTGCTGGCCCCCAAGCCCCCTACAGCACATGTTTGTCATCACCTTCCATGGAGGCAAAGTGCCCACACCTCCCCAGGCTACCTGGCACCTCCAACACCAATCAACAGCCAAGAGCCACCTGGCACTTGGAATGACACCTAGGAAGCCTTCTCCACCAACCCCCCACTGATTTTTTTGCTGCCTCCTCTAGTTTTTGGAAGCCCTGGAGGCTCAAACATTGCCTCTGGTAGAGCTGCTTCAAAAACAACAATGATCTCAGTACAAGCAGATCAATGTCCCAGAGCTTTATGTTTTCAGAGAATATAGCAGAGATCTTCCCTCTAACACTGTGCCCGGTGTCCAGGGGGTGTATTATCCACAGTAGGATGCCATGTTCACCTGGAATCAGGGATTAAGGGAGGCACAGGTTCATTCTTTTTAGGTCTGGCATCACCCAACCTCGATGAGCTCGATAGGAGAGTAGACAGGGAAGATGCCCAGGGAGGGAAGAGGAACAAGGTATGGTTAAATATGTTAAACCAAGGATGGAGTCAAAACAGGTACCCTGAGCTGCTGAGCACTGTTGTTGTGCAGAACCAATCTACTCCCGTGAAGGGCAGAGCAGAGATGGTGCTTTCTCTTTGACAGTTCATCAGAATTTCTGACAGATGTAGGACCCGGATAACCGGGAAGTTAAACTTCTTCAAACAGAAATTTCCATTTCTGGCCAGTTCTCTAAAGTGAAAACCATCCTGACCTATGAATTACCGTTTTATTACCCATGTTGTCTGTGTGAATTAAAGCCTCCACTGATGCAGCAAACGGTTTGTGCCAAAACACCACCAAAATCAATAAATTCAGTGCTTTGATCATGACATTTGGAGAGAGAGCCAAAGTGGTGCAGGCTCACAGACACCTCCTATACACATAAACATCGTTCCTATGGCCTGTGGAGAGTTTCTGTGGTCATTCCCATGATTTGCCCTCTAGGATCAGACAGACCCTTGCAAAGGCACCGTTATGTCCGTACCTTTTTCCTGGTGAGATTCTGCCAGCTGCAGACTCTTCCTTCTACTAATCCTACCTCCTGGAGGCACTTAGCAACTAATCTGGATTACCTATTTCTACTGTTCCGTGGCAAAAGAAACCTCATTGTTTCAAGTCCTGTGGGCTCACTCCCAGGCAGTGGCCCATGGGAACATCCCCTTGTCTTCCTAATTTGATTTAGGCTGCTCCTTTGCCAAGACCCCTCAAGTCTCACGTGGATTTAAGTGGGCCATTGCACAGGCTCCAAACACATCTCTAACCAGGGACATTATCCTGCTGTAGCAAACACTCAGACCTGGGCTTGCAGCAGCAGGATTATCACTATTTAGCAGTGGCTTGTTAACAGATGCCTAAGGAAATACAGACAGCACAACGCTGACCCACAGCATGGAGCTGGAAACACCTTCCTGGTCTGATCTAGACAGGAGTTTTCTACTTCAGAGCATCCCTTGTCAGGTTTTAACCAGCCCATGTCACTGCAGGTCAGAGAATTCAAACAGGCAAAGTCCAGTTGACTTCCCCAAACACTGGAGCAAAACTTTGGCTCCAGTCATCGCCAGAAACAATCAGCTGGAGTTAAGAGTCCCAGAAATTTGTAAGCCAAGTGGGCCCAAGCTTCTGCATACAAAAGCCCCAGGGTCTGCCAGTCTTGGAGCTATTTTCCCAGCCTCCTCCAGATCCGTGCCTGTGACTGTCGTTTGTGAGGTGGGATGTGCAGCCCTGCCCACAGCGCTCCGTGCGAGGTCATGGTGACACCCCCCGCCTGTCTAACGCCTTTGTGAAACTTCTGACATCCTTCTCTGCAGTCTCTTCCGTGAAGCCTCTCATTTTTACTCACCTTTTTGGTCACAGCTGGGCTTTCAAGCAGAGGTCCTCATTGGGTTGTCACAAAATAACCCGATTCCTGGGAGGTGACAGCCAATTTAGGAGCCCTCGGTGCAGAGAGTGGCTTTACAGAGGCTCAGGATGGGCTCTGCCTCACCTTATTTGCAGCACGGGTTCTGATCTACCCTATACGGTGCTGAGCTTGGCTGTGTGATCCAGGCCTGCAGTGCCTCTCTCTCCAATCAGCCTGGCCACCCAACCCTCACAAATTTGGAGCAAATTAACAGGACGTGGTCTCTCTCCAGACGTCTCTCCACGCTCCCTCACGTGTATCCCCTCGGCGCACACGAGACTTTTCACAGATGCCACTGAGTGTCATGTAGGAGGATTATTCCCAGGAAATCTCATTTCTCACTTCCACTCACACATCCTGATGGCCCCTTCTAAGGACAGCAAAAGGCCCAGCCCAGGAGCCTCCCCAAAGACCTTGGAGGAGTGTGGCAGATCTTTTAGCCCAATTACGTTAGGCCGGTGTAAGAATTCATTCCACAGACTGCTCTTGGGAAGGAGCAGCCTGGCTTGGCAGCCAGGGCTGACCTGCTCCAGAAGGAAGGATGCTGGTAGCTGTACCTAAAGCCATCAGTTTGTTCACTCAGCCAGGAAAGACAAAGGCACCAGCTTGTCCCCAGCAGCAGCAGCATCATGCTGGTCATGGTGCCGCATGGCAGCTCCCAGGAAAACCAGTTCAGGTGGGCTTGTCGTGTTTGCAAGAGCTCAAAGCTGGTTGTCACAAAAGCTTTTTCACCTGCCTGTCGATCCAATCCTCCCTTCCCAGGCACCCTCCAGCTGCCACTGGCTCATACATGGCTCCAGAGTTGCTGAGCCCCTTGCCTGTCCTGGTGAGTCAGCACCACCGTGGAGGGGAGCTTGGATTGATCCAACTCTTCCAGACGCTGCACCAGGATCCATTCAGCTATTCTGGGCTCTGCCCTGACTATTTCTGCTTTAGTGCCTCCTGCAGGGGGGCAGGCAGTGAATCTGGATAGCGGGGGGACAATTATCTCTGCCCTACATGGGTGAATGAAATCTCTGGTGGTGGGGCAGCACCTCTCTGCAGACCTAGGTATTCCTGGGATCTTTGTCAGAGCAGCTTGGGAGTTGGTGAGGAAATGTTCATCCCTTTAGCACTGCCCCCAGGGGGTTTCCAGGTGGTGGCTGAAGGCATCAAGCTTGTCTCCTTCCCTGTGAGCAGGGCAGCCAGCTCCTCTGGGCAGGAGCTTCTCTCTCCTGGCCACCCTAGGGAAGAGCTGACTCAGCTAAAATTAGATTTTCTAAATATCCTCTCCCTGTAGCCCCAGAGCCACTTCTGAGGGCTGGCACTTGCTAAGGCAGCCAACCCACTGTCCCACAGCAGAGGGAAGATCCACATTCCTCCTTGCCCCCCGCAGCACATCCCACCCTGGCCTCCACATACCCCTGGCCCTGCCTAGCCTGCAAATAAACAGGACAAAGCTGCCCAGGACACTGTCCATCAACATGATAATCCTGCTCTTGTGGAGCAAAACCCCAGCCTGTCTGCGTGGTGGGGGAGGACCAGCTGGGACCGCTGCCTCCCCTCCTCATTCCAGCACCCAGGATCGCAGCCCCAGGCGGATTCTCTCCTTGCTGGATAACTCACACGTAGCTTCCCTGCTCCATATACTCAGCTGTTCCTCTGATATGGTGCCAGTCTCAACACATGGAATCCAGGCCTTCAAAAATCTTCCATAAGCTCAAGCAACTTTACATTAGCACACTGTCGACGATCCCGAAGCCTACAGGCTCAGACCAGCAAACCTCCCACGAAATATCCAGCAAGGTAATGGTAGCTCTGCATGAAATGCAGAATGAAACGATGGAGTTGTCCATCTTTCCAGCCGCCACATTTCTCCTGTCTGGGAAAAAAAATAAAATTGTTATTTAACAGTAGCATTAAATTCAGTGCGACCTGTTGTATTCCTGTGTCACCGGGACCTGGAAGGGATGTTTTTCCTCGCAGCTTTCCATGCTATTTGCGAGGATACAGGTCCTAATTGCAGCTCTGCTATGTGAACGTTTCCAGGAATTCCCATCAGACCATTCAACACCAATCCTTGGTTTCTGGGAGTTTCCCTTCTCTTATGAAACTTTTGCCATTCTTCTCCCAGGGCGAGTGAAAACAACAGAGTGGAGAGGGGAGATAAGAGCATTAAATGTCTTGAAGCAATTGGTCAATGAACAAATTTCTGTGATATTTTGCATGTTGGGACTATTCACCTCCAGTTACTAATTCCTCCTTTCTCTTCATTACGAAGCCACATTTGTTCCCTTCAAGACCACTTTCCACCCCAACCCTTTCTCAAACTCCTGCCCTACAGTCCACAAGCAAATCTGGAAAACTATCCCTGCTCTTCAGGAGCTGATGGAGGAGAGCTGGAGGAAGACCTGGACACAGCTCCAGTGTGGCAAGAGATGCTCCCTCCCCTCCTGTCCCTTCTCCAGGCTCCTGACAATCACTGAGTGATGAAGGCTCACAGCCCCTGATCCCAGCCAGCTGTCAGCAGGGTGATGAGGATTTCATTCAGCATCTCCTGGGCAAGCCAACACCCCTGTACCCCTTAGGATAGCACTGACCACTGGGTCTTGCAAATCTGGGGAAGGTTCTCTCTGCCCAACAGGATGGGGAGGCAGGTCTGGTGGGGCTGCTTGAGATGTTCAGCACCACCACAGTCTGGTCCTGCTCAGAAATGCCCTTAAGCTCAGCTGTGGGCTGACCCACTTGGCTGGCTCACATTACTTTACAACAGACAGCTCCCAGCATCCCAGGGCCTCTGCTCCCAGCAGACTTGCTCCCTGCTCCTTGTCCCACTGCTGGTGGATGTTTGCAGATGGCTCATCCCACCCCTGCCCTTCCAGCCCACCTGGAGTCCCTTTTCTCCTGCCTCTGTCCAGACATCAGCACCGACTGTGCCATCCCCAGTGCGCTCTGTGGGACAGCCTTGAGCTTCCTGCTGCCTTTCACCATCTCCCCCCACAAAACCCTTGGCCTAAAGCCCCACGGGCCAGGCTGATCCTCTGGAGATATCTGCCAGCACAGCCTGCCTGGACTCGCAGCTCTCCCTGGAGGCAGGTTTCCCACTGGGAGAAGGGAGATGCTCATCCTCTCTTTCCTCATGTCAGCACCCGCTGCCCTAATCCCTGGGTCGTGCTACATCTGCATCCCCCAAGCATCCCCAGGACATCCCTGGAGGTCCCCACCACATCCCAGAGGTCCCCACCCCACTGCTCACAGGCCCCAAGGCCTCACATCCCACCCACCGGAGCACCACGGGGGAGGTCCCTGCGTTTGATGGCTCTGCCTGGGGACAGCTGGCTTGTTCCTGTTCCAAACCCTTTCCCTGGAGCTGCCAGCCCAGCTGGGAATCCTAACCCCATCCCTCATGCCAGGCAGGGGGGTGGGACAAGGATACCACGGTGGGGAACCCCATCCTGCCCAGCACCAGGGGGGCTGAGGGCAGGCAGCAGGGGCTCAGATTTCGGTTTCTCTGCCCTTGGGAAGTCCATGCGAGAGGACGGAGGAGCTGTTTGGACTCGCCTGCCTCTCCCCGCCTCTGCAGGAGGGTGTGGGTGAGATTCCGCTTGCCAAGAGAGCCCCATGGCTTGTCCTTCTTGGCTGTTTATGGCTTGGACCAGATCGGGTTTCTAAGCTCTTCCCAAGCCGGTAACTTTGGGGTTTTTTTTAAAAAAAAAAAAAAAAAACTGCTGATTTTCTCCTCTTTCCTCCCCCTCCTTTCCTCCACCCTGCGATTTGTGGCCTGGCCTGAAGATGGTGAACGAGCAGCGGTGCTCCAGAGCACAGCCGGGGCTGAGCCACCTCTGTGTCCACCCAAGTCCCCCTGAAAACACCCACGGGCCCAGGCAGGCAGCGAGGAAGGGGCTCAGCATCCTCCTGCTGCAGCCTGTCAAGCAACCTCCCTCTGGTGTCCTGCGTGATCTAACCTGGTCTCCCAAGAGAACACAACTCAGGAAAGGAGGGGGGCAATGCTGTGACCCTCTCAGCCCCCTAAAAGACGTTTTCTGCTCCCTGCTGAGTGGCAGGCTGGCAGCACCAGCCACCACGTGCTTCAGTCCCCCACTGCCAAAAGGGCTGGGAGCCCTTTCCCAGGGTGCTGTGGGGATGAATGCAGCAGATAGCGTGAGGTTCCCAGAGCAGGTAACGTCCCCCTAATTAAGATAAATACTAATTAAGTCTGGGACTTTCAAAGAAGCCCTGGGAGCAGACTCCAACTCCTGTTGAATTTCAATGGGAATGAGACACCTGACTCCAGAAAAACCCAGCCTCTGATACTAAGCTTAAATGGGCCCTTCTCTAACGTTGATATATTGCTGCTCTGTAACTTCCCGTATATCCGAGCACAACATCAATGTCCTGGAAATGCTAATAAGGAGCTTTAGGAGGGCAGCAGCGAACAGGCTCCAAGTCAGATGCCCGTGATCATCCTGTGCTATTAAACATTATGGACAAGCTTTGAGCAGGGCTTACCCATGTTGCACATGGAGCTCTGGCTGAGCCCCGGGTGCTTTGTGCATCCCTCTCTCCTCCTCCTCCTCTCCTTCCTCCTCCTCCCCAGCTGTGGAGAGCTTATGGTCCCTAGTCCCAATCCTGTGCTCTCTGGGAGACCCTTACTGGAATGAGTGTGGCAAAGGGACTATGCATGCCTGGGAGCTGGTCCACATGGAGCTGTGCCTGCTGGGAACAGCCTCCCAAAGACCACTGAAGGACGACAGTGGGGAGCAGACCCCCAGGCAGCCACAGAGGGATGGGAGGCTGCAGCAGATGGGACTGCCCATCCTGTGCTCACACATCTTTACCTACCCTCTCTTGTCCAGCAGAAGGTGTGCATCACCCCTGCAAGGACCACACCTTGGAGGCTGTGCTGGGCGACCACCACAGCAGTTGTTCAGGGGGGTGGGGGGGATGTAACACTGGTGTGGTGATGGAAAAAAAAGGAAAACACTTGGGATTTCCAGCGCTGGTGATCCAGGATCGTGGGCGAGCAGCGCTGAGCTCGGGCGGTGGAACCATTTGGGAAAGGCAGAACCATTTGGGAATGCCAGACCGTGAGACCCCTCCGCGAGCCACCACGTGTCCAGCTGGCTCAGACCCAGCATTGTGATGGACTGGCCCTGGCCGGCCTGCTGCCAGCCCAGAGGTCTGACAAACACAACCTCTCTGTCCTCCGGCCCCGCTCGCCAGCGCCTGTTTCGAATTAGCATTTCCCCTGCCCCCACCGCCTGCCATTTGGGCAAATCCCTCAGCTGTCTGCCAGCAGCGCCGGGCGAGGGGACACCAACCCCGGGAGCCCCGTTTGCTTTCCAAGGACTTTCCCAAGTCCCCGGTACACTTTAGCAATTAGAGGGTTAAGTTTCCTCCCGGCCTCGCTGCATTAACTGGAAAGGAATGAAGTGTCAGGCATGTTCTCACCACAGCAGGCTGTTGGAAAGCAACTCCCTTCTCCACGCACACACACCTCCCACTGCTGCGACCAAATTATTTTCTATCCTCCAGAGACCCAGTATGCCAGACAAAATCTGCAGCATGACTCTGATTCATTGCAAAAGGATGCAGATGTAATATTCCCTTTTTTGCCGGGGCTTCTCGCACGCTAATTCACACGGCATCTCGGCGTTTCGAGTTTTACAGCTCTCCTGCTCTCTTTATTATTTTTTTTTTTTCGGAGGGCTCTGACGCCCCTCGCTGACCCTTGGCCCCACGTCCTTTCTCCCAGCACCACCAAAATAAAGACACTAAGCCTCCCATCTCCAGCGTGCAAATAGGCAGCTCTCCCCAATGTGCTAATTAGCCGAGTGTTTGGAAGTAAATAGGTAAGATTGGTGGTAATTTCCTGGCTGAAGGGGTAATTATTTGTTTCAAACAGGCTGCAAAATAACCCCCGTAAGGTGAGATAGGAAACTAAATTCAAAAGAGGTTTCCTATTCCCACTAAGCAGGATTGAAAACTGGTTTGAAATTCCTTTTTTTATTTATAGTACATGGTATCCATGGAAACCTACAGAGGAGGTCATGGTAGCTAGGCCTCCGTTTCACCCTGCTCAGGGGATTACCGTTGCACAGTGGTACGCAGCCGTGTAAGAAAGTAGATTCACAATTCCCCGCAAACAGCCCCCCCCCCCCCCCCCGCCAGCCCCCAGTCCCAGCCTTCCTGGAGGGCTGCAGGAGAGCTTTTGGGAGGCTCATAAATCTGCTCCGGGATGGGAAAGTGATGGGAACTGTGTCTCCAGCGTCCCCCAGAAGCAGGAGGCTGCCGGGAGCGCGCCGGCTCCCCGCGGTCCCCTGACGCGATGCGCTGCGGGACGGAGCCGCTCGCGGCGTGGCAGCGGGATCAGCGGGATCAGCGGGATGCTCTTCCCCTTGCCTGGGCTCTCATCCCTGCTCCAAACCCCGCGCGAAGGGGAGGAGCACCACGGCCAACTTTTCACTCGGCTCAGCCAAGTGAGGAAAGCCCAGGAGCAGTCCAGATCCCAAATTCCCACAGGCAGGGCATCTTCTGCGTTCACCTTTCCCTGCTGTTCTCGGGAAAACCGTTGCTTTAGAGGAAGCGGGGAAAGCGTGGGGAGAGGGATGCCGCAGAAATGGCTGTGGGTTTTGGCCATGTCCCCGGGGGCGTGGTGTTGGGCACTGCTCCCCTTGGCGATTCCAGCAGGGCAAAAAGGCTGTTTCCCAACTTTGGGAACTATTTGGGCTCTTCCAGGTGCGAACCTTTTGCCGCTGCGGACAGGAGCGACTCCCTGTTCCGGTCTGGCTGCGCGTGATTTGGTGGCAGAGCACAATCACTGCCTTTCACGCTGTATGTAAACCCCAGTCCCAGCCTGTGGAGCGGCTGGTGCTCCACAAACCCTCGGCGCAGCCGCGAGCGAGCGGGGCAGGAGCGGGTGCGCGCTGCCAGCTCGGCTCCCCCGTGCTGGCAGGGCCACGGCGGCTGGATGTTCCCCGGGAAGGCAGAGGTGGAACGTGGAGCTGCTCCACGACCGTTTTCCACCCAGCCCAGCCCGTCCCCCAGACCCCCCGCCGCCCCCTCCAGCTCCCCGCGCTCTGCCCCAGCCGCGCGCAGAGCGACATTACGCCTGTGACCTTCACTAATTCACTTTCCCTCTCCACGCCGCCTTCCCCCTGCTCGCAGAAAGACTCGCTTTTTCACACAGCATAAAAATAGCCTGTGCAAGGCGTTGCCAGAGGAAGCTGCGGGGCCAGCAGTGTGCAGGCAGGAGGAGGGACCGGCTGGTCCCTGGCCCCGCTCACCCCACCCCTCGCCCCGGCAGGGAGCTCCCAGACCAGCCTCCCACCACCCACATGCCCTTGGCCTCCTTAACATCTCAGCTTCTTCCTCCGCCACTCCCTTACTGGTCTCGATGTGGCGAAATCCAAACGGTGGAGGTCAGCAGCAGGGAAATGCTGCTTCATCAACCTTCTCCCTTAAGCTGAATTGTTTTTCCCTCAGTTTTGGGGAAATTGAAGGCTGAAAGCAGCAAATTTAGGTGAATTGTGGGGCGGATTTTCAAGGCTTTCTAAACAAAAAATTACCCAAACAGTAATTTCCATGTCCTTTATGGAAATGATTCTGCTTGGGTATCTGTCAGTGGGAAATAGCACTGGAGCCATTACCACCAGAAAAAACTGAACTGGTGGTATCAAACCGACTTTATGTTACCATAAACACCTCCAGCTCCTCTTTTCTTCACAGCACTTTACCTTGGTCCTTCTTCTGCCATCCCTCCAGCTGGCCTGGGCTTGGCACCTTATGACAGTGGCCACCCCCAGCCACTTGCCCAGGCTTCAAGCCAGTACTGTGGTGTTTTCCCACTTCCCATTTCCTATCACCATCCCTAATGTGCCTCCCAGTCACCCCCCTGTTCTTCAGGTCCTTTCCTAGGCCCGGCCTTGGCCTTGGGAGCATCTCATCTGCTGGGCAGGGCTTCAGCTGGCAAGGGAGGAAGCCACCACCTGCAAAGTAAACCTCTGGGCACACCTCTTGGCTGATTTGAGGAGATGATTGCATCCTAGGAGTGTTCTTTTCTCTCTAGCAGTGGCTACAAATGCTGGAGACACCAAAAGGGAGACAGAGTGAGGCCAGCCCTGCTCTGTCAAGTGACCAACCAGTGCCACCACACGCTGCTGTGCTCTGTGTTGGACTCATCTCTCCTTTCCCTGCCCCGGGGAGTCGCACCACTCCCCACCTCAACACAAAACCAGCACCCACCCCGTGTGTCTTTTCTCCCGTTAAGTTCATCCCCACGGCTGGCGGTTTTCTAGTGCTCACCACAATTTTGTGCCTACCTTGGCGCCTGCTACGCTACCGCCAGTGCAGTCAATCAATCTTGCCTCGGCCAATAAGCAGGAGAGAAGTAATGTTTTTCCTGCTCCCCCAGCTCTCCTCTCCTCCCGATCTCCATCAGGCACTCGGCAAGTTCACAAGGGCAGCCCGCTCTCCGTTTCCTTGGTCACGCACAGCAGCTTGCCCTCCTAGAGTAATAAAAACAAATGACACGTTGCTGGTTGTTGTCAGAGCCGTTGCCGGGCCCCTCCGTGGAGAGCAGATTTGGGGGGGAAAAGGAAGCGTTTGCGTTTTCAGGTTCCTCCTCGGGCAGGTGGAGGAGAAGTCGTCAGTGGATGTGAGTTGTCAGCAGATGTAATGCCAGAGTCGACTGAAAAGGATGAGCAAAGACTGAGGGATGCAAGGCTGAGAGCCTGGGGTGTGTTTGCTCATGGAGGTGGTGAAATGATGATGGTTCTGATTATCTGGGAGCAAGTGAGACCCCAGAGGGGCCTGTGCCAGGTTCTGGTGTCTGCCAGAGGGGCACAAGCCCCCATTCTGTGATGCTGCCTTGCATCACCCTCTCCTGTCACTCTGTCACTGAATTTAGTCACCCTAACCTGCAGACACTGGTTCTAGCAAGATGAAGAACAGATCAACCCTCCCTTGTGTCTGGAGCCAAGACCTGCCCAACCTCCATTTGCAGAGTGTCTGAGTGTTCAGGAGCTGCTTGTGCCAGAAGCCAGGTCTTCCTTTATCCCACACATAGCCCAGGGTGATCAAGACACTGCTAAGCTGCCCCCTAGCCCAGGAGCCCTGCACCACCTATCCTGCAAGCTCTGCATCCCATGCCATGTTGGAGTGAGCAGCCAGGCTGTCCATGGATCCTGAGAGAGAAGCTCTGTGCCTGAAGGACTTCACCATCTGGTTGCTGATTCAGACACCAGTCCCCACTCCGGGACGTTCCAAAGACTGCAGGATGGGAGGGCTCGCAGCAGCTTTATCTTTAGCTTTGCCTCTCCCTTTATTCCTATTTTTATTAGCTGGGAGACAGCCCATCCTTTTTATAGCTCTGAATTCAAGGGTGATGAGATGAAAGTGGAGAGGGGCTCCCGCATGGGTAGATGAGTAGCCATAAGGTCAAGGCACCTGAAGGAGAAGTTTCCAGCTTTCACAGCCCTAGAGATTGTCCCATAAAATTACTCATAAAATTAAAGTGGGTTTTGGGTTTCAAAGTCCTGACAAACTTGAAATAGTCATCAGCCAATTCTGGTATATGGGAAGCCTCAAACCTCTGGTTATTGAGGCAGAGGTTAATGCTGAGCTGTAACATCTCCTGGGGACACGATGGAGATGGCAGTGCCTGGATCAGCTCGGGGGTTATGGCTTAGGCAGTGGGTGATAAGTTGTTTTCGCTATCACGCTATGGATCTGAATTTCTTCAGTCAACTTCTTCCAAACAAAATACAGAGCCACTTCCTCAGAATCTTCCACGGGATTTATGAGGACTGGGCCCTCTCCAGTTTTCTTTCTGTATCAAAGTGATGATTTAATTAACTGATGATCTAATTTGGGCTGGAACTGAAGCTAACCTGGTGATTTCTGAATTTGACCTTGGTACAGATTAACCATGGTGGCACTTAGTGTTAGCTTAACAGCATTCAGAACAGCTTTGTGGCGATACCTTCCCTGGACTTTGTTTTTTAAAAATTAATCTGTGTCAGGGTAACTGGTGAGTGTGAGGGACAGGGATTCAGGCGGCTCCAAGCACCTCGGAGAGGGGGTAGCCCCTGGCTGCAGATGTCACTGTCATACCTGTGGCAGCAAATGCCAGCTTTGAAGCAGGCAGGGGAGCTGATCCTGCTGAAAAATAGCCCAGGCAAAACACGGGAGGGTTCCAGTTGGTGGCAGATGTGTGGGGCAGCACAGGGTGCAGGGAGAGGCTGAGTGGGGGAAGCCCCAGGGAGGCACAGCCAGCGCTGCCCTGTGCTGTCCCTGCCAGGCAGGAGGCAGCAGCTCCAGGGATGTGACCTCCAGTGTCTCACGCCTGTCCCTGGTGCCAGCAAGTGCGTGGAGCAGAGGTCAGACAGCTACCGAGGCACCTGTCTGTGTGTGTTAAGAGCCTCAGCACACACATACACCCTGCACACACACACACACACCCCATGTGTGCTGTCATACCTGCCTGTAACTGCACAGGTACATCCCCTGTCCCTGCCACAGGCACAGACACCGTCACACACACAGCCTGTGAACACGCGGACACGCACACACAGAGTGTATCCAAGCATGCACGTGTACTGTGCACAACTTACACATGGACACACAGCCTTTGTCCCTCACACTCACACACATCCAGTGCACCCTCATACATGTGAACATGCACATGCATGTACTTGCCTGGCATATGGGCTGCCCTCCCTGTGCTCCCCACACGCCTCCCACAGCCCCACTCTCCTCACCTTCACCCCAGGCCAGGGCTAAGGATGCCCCAAGACCGTGGGCAGTCACTTGGGCTGCTCCTTCCTGAACCCAGACCCATGCCAGGGATTTCCCAGAGCCTCACGCCAAGCACAGGACCCCACCAACCCCCCCATGCCAGCCCCCACTGCACCAGACTGGACCATCTCCTGCCACCACCCAGCAGCTCTCTCCATCTCAGGGGGGTAATGCTTTGGGACATTCCTGGTTGCCCAAGAACAAGAGGCATTAGGCAGTGCAGCAGGACCTGTGTGAGCTGGAGTTGCAGGGTCCAGTTGGGTGGTGGGAAGGAGGAGGAGAGACCTGATCCTGCAGGGTGGTGGGGTGGAAGGGCAGAGATCTGGTCCACGTTGGATGGTGGGATGGAGAGGGAAGCTCAGAGCTGACGTGGGACTGTGTGTATGTGGTTGAACACTGCCAGCAGGTACAGCATCCCCACACACTCCTCTTCACAAAGAGTCACCCCATGTGTCACTCTGTTCCAAACAAAGCTGTGCTCTTGGTACCCAGTGGTGCCACAGCTCCCTGTGCAGCCTGGGCATTGCCTGAGCCCTCCCAGCACCTCCTGCCCTGGTGGGTGCCACACACCAGATCGACTCTCTGGGCCTGGGGACGGGAAACATGGGCAACACAGCTCTGGGATGCAAAGGGTGCAAACATCCCTCTGGGAACCAGGATGCGATGCAGGACCTCCTGGTCAGAGCTGGTCCACAGTGATGGATGTAGAGGGGATGGCTGGCCTGGGGCACAGGCTGTGTGTGGGCTCCAGAACATCCCCAGCTGCAGGGAGCTCTGTCTGAAGGATGGAAAACAGGCCAGGGATGGAAATCAAGGGCAGGGGATGCTCTGATGTATCAACCATGTCCTTCAGAGTCTGTGCAACACCCTCTCTGCACAGCATCTTGCTTCTGAGATGCCTTCACCCATGCAGCTGTGGGCTCCAGAGGGGCTGGCAAGGAGCTGGAAGTACCTCCAGGCTGCTGGAAGCTGTACCCTACGGCACACACCTTCTGCAGCGGGGTGCCCTGACCCCAAGCATGGGCTGGCTGTGGCTCAGGGCGCTGCAGAAGAGGCCAGCGGGGCAGGGGCTGGTGTGCAGAGCCAGGGGGAAGGACGGCACGACCTCATTTCCTACAAGCCAAGGTGCAAAGGCCCTCTGCCTGCTGCAGGAGCTCGGTCCCGCGTGGCCGTGGCGCTGCCCGCGGGCTGCCTGCCCTGCTGGCGGGACGAGCATCCTCCCCGCAGCTCCCGCGGCACCGCGCCGAGAAGGTGAAACCGGCTCAAGCTGCCGATCGCCGCTGGGGCGGGGGGATGGCTGCAGGCTAATAATATTCCGTGTCTCATTATGCCGCGTATTAAGCTGAAATTTGCAGATGCTCTAATCACCGCGAGGCATTCTGCGCACACAGCCTCCCTCCAGCCCGGCAGCGCTGTGCAAACACCGGAGGAGAAGCCCTGCTAACCATCCTGCCACATGGTGTCCTGGAATCTTTACAGACCATTTCACCTTCACAAATAGCCTTGGAATGTCTGTGCATCGACAGCCCCTGCGGTAGCCAGATAGGCTCAGCCGCCTCCTCTGCAGCTCCCCGGGCCCCTCTTAAGCTTTTTCCCATCACGCCATGCAGATGCGAGGCTCCGGAATTTACACCGGGGCTGGGTAAAGCACCTCACGTCGAATGTGATCTGTGCCCCAGGCTCGCAGAGAACGTGAACTGTATTTTATAGAGGTTGAGGGAAGCTCCTGCCTGAATTGCTTTAATTTTTTTTTTCCCTCTCCGTGTCTTCTCTCTCCCTTCTTTTTTTTTTTTTAATGATTTTCTTTTCTTTTCCCAGATCTCTGCCCTTTGCCCTCCCGCGATCAAAGGGGGCACGCATTGAAGTGCCGTGGGAATACTGACTCCTTGAGTATTCTGGGCAATCTCACGAGAAAAGCTGCTTTTCCCCCAGAGGTAGGGAAACGCGGCTGGACCGGGCTGTGGGAAGGAGGGGCGGGTGTGAAGCCTGCGGATTCCCTGCGCGTGGGAAGGCAGGAGAGGGGAGCAGTGCGGGAAGGGTTAACCGGAGACTGTCCTTGCTGTTTTTTCCAGGCCTGGCTGCACCAGATTCTTCCATTTCTCTTGGCAGGGATTGAAACCGTGGGGCTGAGCTAAGCACATGAGCCTGGAGAGTCCCTGTGCTCTGGTGGTGAGCAGGACCCCGAGCGAGGTGCTGCAGCTCATTAGCAAAGCAGCAGCTCGTCCGGGGCACGCAGGTGTCAGGCAGGCAGCAACAACAGCAAAACAGAGAGGGAGAGGCAGGAACGCACCGAGGTGGGCAGTGTTTGCTGCTCTGGGCGTGCACAGGCACACACACACACACACACACACACACACACACTTACTACAGGTAAGAGGGAAACCTCGTCTGCTCTCTGTGTAGTGTGAGGTGTAAGGGTTTGGGCATTGGGCTCATCCCTGTGCCTGGTGCTGATTTGGGCCACCCCCTTTGGCCTCAGTTCATATGGCATTTGGCAGCTTTTCCTTGTTAGAGGGTTGTGGTCTCCCTCCTCCATCATCCCACCCTGGAGGATCGAAGCAGGATTTTGGATGATCAGGGAGCCACATGCTGCCCACCTCTGGGCTGGCAAACGGGGTGACCCAGCGAGCCCCCTGACCCAGGAAAAGGGCTGGGAATCATTCCCTGAACGAGCACAATGGCTCCTGCCCTGATGGCTCGTCTGGCTCCACACTCACAGTTGCCCAGGTGACTGCTCTTGGAAGAGTGTGCATGGCTGGAGAAGCTCCA